TTCCAATATAAAATTTTTTTTGAAAACATTATCTGCTAGCTATAATACGAATCTATTATTATGAAGGAATAGGAGGAAACACGAGTTCTTATTCTGGATGTCGAATAGATTTCAACAAGCTAATCTTCAGTTATATGTACGGAAATTCATTTTTATCAATTAATATTTTGGAAGTGTTATTACTGTGTTTGTTGTTATAGTTTCGTTTATTTTAGATCATTTTGATTTTTGTATTCCTATTACTTAAATACTTCTACTATGTGTAATATGTGTTTTCAAATAATGTTATGTATTGTTTTGTTTATGTTGAAAATTGATTAAGTTTGTAAAGAGAGAAAAACCACGCCATGGCTCCCTTTTAAAATTGGGGGGGGGAATGTAAGAATAATTAAATTAGATTAAAAATTAAATTCCCTATGTAGCACTTAACTCATATTTTTCATTTCATCTTCAAGTATCAAACTAATCACCCATTTATTTCTTCCGAACATATGGCCTGTGGCCGCGGTAGCCAAGTGGTATACGTATCGGATCATGGCTTGCCTTGTCACGAGTTCAAGCCCAGTACCACTAAAGACCCGCCTTGTAGGGCAGCGATGCACGCTAAATCTGTCGAAAACTGAAACGTCCTCCCGTTGGTGTGGTGTGGTAGTTAGGAGAGGGGGTGCCAGCTCAGGTGTCGTCCACGTCACTTGACGATGGTTCAAAATTACGTGGTCTGTCACCAAAAGCCCTCGTGTAGCTTAACAGAGCGACGTTAATATTCAATCAATCAATTAATCAAACGAACATATGGCCTAGTCAATAAACATGTCTAATTCCAGATCGTTATATTTAATAGCCCTATATGTCAGCATTAACTTTCAAGTACAATCATAAAATCCGCGATAGTTACCCCATCGGTGTTTTAAGTGCTAACCCACTTAAAACACACTGTGGCGTGTTTTTTCCTCCCTGCTCTGAGCGTCAGAAGACATGTTTTAATTCTAGAATAAAGACTTTTAAAACTAAGTCTGATTCTGGCCCAAAACGTGTCATGTGTGTGTGTGTGTGTATGTGTGTGTGTGTGTGTGTGTGTGTGTGTGTGTGTGTGTGTGTGTGTGTGTGTGTGTGTGTGTGTGTGTGTGTGTGTGTGTGTGTGTGTGTGTGTGTGTGTGTGTGTGTGTGTGTGTGTGTGTGTGTGTGTGTGTGTGTGTGTGTGTGTGTGTGTGTGTGTGTGTGTGTGTGTGTGTGTGTGTGTGTGTGTGTGTGTGTGTGTGTGTGTGTGTGTGGTGTGTGTGTGATCAAAATTCTCTACTATAAAAAGCGATCAATAATCAACAAAACTGAAAAAAATGAAACTTGCTAGTTAAACCAAACATAGATTTTAGAAAGGATATCAGAGAAAATTTTTTATATATAAATATATATATAGTTATAAGCCTAAGTATAACTAGTCAGAACAGTAAGAAATATTGGCAATAGTAGTACAGTAGCAAACTCGTGCTCATAGAAACCAAGAATGCAGGTTTAAACATGTGTTTTGGCCAGCTAACCTATATCTGTAATTTGACTATACTACTGAACAATAAGAAAAGCAATTAATATAAGTATGTAATTATTGCCAAATAAAATACTCTAATACTAATTTTTCATGTATAACTATAAAACTTAAAAGATTGCTTACTAGTATAGAGTTAAAAACCTTTGTATTAAAAAAAAAGTGGAAGATAATAAACCTTACCACGTGAGTGTAACATCCTGTTGCAGTTTCCCGCCAATACAAAAGGAAGTAAGAGGGGAATCGCATAAAAGTAAATTAGTACAATAAGATAAAATAAAAGTCTACAGGATATATATATACATATTTCAAAACCTCAAATATTGATATAAAGTTAATTGGAATTATAAAAGGATCTCAAAGCATACACAGTGATACTAATATAAAATAAAATATATTTAATTTTATTATATACGTATCGCTATCTTTTGTAAATATATATATATATATATATATATATATATATATATATATATAGAAGCAGTCAGACCTCTTTATAACAAAGTCGCTAAATTCCAAAACAAAGTTCGTTATATGGAAAATTCGCTATATAGATGGTTCATCTTTCAATTTTCTTTATATACTACATGAAACAAATTTTAAATTCATAAACACTACATAATAAAAAAAAAGAAATTACTGACACATTTTTGTAAATTAATATGTATTTATTTTATTTATCTTACCTATCAAAAAGATAAAAAAGAAAGAAAGAACTAGAAGGAAAGTTTCTTGACGCCTTTATCCATTTCTTGAAGAATCAAATTTTTTTCTTTGATGCTGAAGCTTTTACGTTTTGAAAGTTTCGAGCTACATTAAGCGAAATTACCAATATGACGGATCAACACTACAAATGAACGGAAACTAGTTCAAAGACACGGGGACACAAGACAACTCCACTAAGGGTGAAATGGATATCGAAGATGTTTCTAGTGAACTGGAGAATGGGGCTAAAGGTAGCACTTCTTGGATGAAGCACCCAGAATTCTATTGTTTTTGGCGAGTTAAGCACCTAATAAAACCATTTAAAGGCTTATAACCTCCATAAAATGTGTGAAAAGAGAGAACAACTTAAAATGTCCAGAAATACTTCAAAAATAGGGAGACAAAAGATTGAATCAAGAGAAAGAGTTCGTTAGATAGAAATGTACTTCGCTATTGGGAGGTTATTTTACCAAGAATATCGTGAAATGTTCTTGGTTCCAGGAAAAAGTTCGCTATATAGGAAAATTCGCAATATAGAGTTTCGTAATATGGAGGCTCGACTGTATATATATATATATAATATATATATGTATACATAGTAATATAAAATAAAAGTGAAGAAGTACTAAAACCTACAGTGCTAAAGAAGGAAAAAGAAATTCACAGCACAACAAATGTAGATACAAAAATCTTTGGACTAATCTGGAGACCTACTTGATTTCTAAAGCTGTCGCTGAATTGGGCCCACAATTGGGTTACAATGCATGGATCAACCTTGCCCGTACAGCGAAATTTTCCCAATAATATGGGGAACCAAGTTAAAAAAATTAACCCCTAAACAACACGTGGAAGAAAAACCTGATAATATATTAAAATGAAGCTAAGAAAAGAAACAATAATGAATGTCTGTAGGAGAGGAATAAAAATAATAAATTAAAAAAACTTACGTGTAAAATAATTACGGGAGATAAAATTAAACCTTCACAGTAAACACCCAACGCGAAATGACAAAAAAAAAATCGCTATTCGAGAAGGAAAATTGTGGCGCCACCTGGATATTTATTTTGCAATTAAACAAACAACTAAGTTTTTTTAAAAAAAACTAAATAAAGGAAAGTTTTAAAAACGATAGTGAACAAATTTAAAGAATAGATAAAATCAAATAGAAATATATTACAAAGTAAAAAAACTTAGATGATTATGTATAATCGATATATTGCAATTAAAATAAATCTTAAAAATTTTTTGTTTTTTTAAAAATTTTATTTTAAAATAAACTAAATAAAAAGGGAATTTTAAATAAAATAATGAACTAAGATAAAAATATATTTAATAAAAATAGAAAATTTTCTATAAAAAATTTCTTGGATAATTGTATTCTAAACAATTTTCAAAAATTCAAAAATTTCTTTGTTTTAAAATTTATCAGTAACTAAATCATTGTTTCTTTTATAAAATTTAAGATAAAATTTCTAAATATTGATAGGTGTAGGTTTTTACCCCAAAGGCATTTTATAATGTTAAAAACAAATGGGTTCCATAAAAATTTAATAAAACTATTCTTAACCAATGAAGGGCAAAAAAACATATATATATATATATATATATATATATATATATATATATATATATATATATATATATTGTATTTTCTCTCTAAAATCAAGATAATATGGTTCCTTGCTTATTTCTTTAATATTCATACATTTAAGAAAAGCTGCTTTTAAAATTTAAAGCTGTCACGCTAAATCATTTTTATGCAAATGTTTAAATTTTAAAATATATTTTTAAACATTACAAAAAATATAAATAAAAAATATATTTTTTCTCTTGCTATGTGTGTGTTTTATATAATCTATAATTTTATACTTGTACGCATTGAGAATCCTTAAAAGATATAAAATAAACTCATTAACTTTCAAACAATTTATAATTTTTCATTATTTTCAGAAATCTTTATTTTTCTTTCTTCCTGTATATATTCTAAAAGTTAAATCTTTCCTTTAAATGTTTAAAAAACATCGATAACATATCCTGAAGCTTTATTTCAAAATTTCAATGAGAGATCCTATTCACTATCTGTTTTAAGCTCTATTACATGATAATATTTATGCCCAAGACTTATGAAAGATTTGGAGAAATTGTTCACATTCTAATAGTTATCCGGATTGAATTTCAATATCTTGACTCGTTAAAAGAAAAAGAAAACCTAATTGTACAATCTTAATGTTTTAAAAACATCGTAAATATGCACTAGAAAAATTATGCGAAATTAAATTATAAATTAAGGCTTTTAAAAGTAAAAATAATTAAATTGAAATGTCGGGTTCTTAAGAAGGTATTTTAAGTTCAATTTTATTTTACACTTACATAATTTACCAATGCATTGTAAAAAAAAAATTAAATGTTAAAATACCTCAGTATGGATCATTTACTAAAGCATGTTTTTTAAATATCGATTTCACTTTACAGAAACTGCTGCCAAGTATTAAATATTAATTCAAAAACGGCTAATTATCGATATGTACTTAGATTATTCCGTTTTTAAGTGGTTTGACAGAGAAAATTCCTTTGTTTACTCTAGGTTATAATGATGTTATATTACAGTAAAACATACAAATATTTATAGGTCTTAGGCAAAATAGTTAAATTTATCAAAATATAAATCAAATTTTTAAATTCTTCAATTCATTTTTCTTCTTAGACAGATGTGTAAATGTGATATTAATATTTGGAATAAAACAAAATCATAGCTGCCCCTCATAGTATAGTGGCTATGACACTCGGCTTTAAATCGAGTGGACTCGGATTCGAATCCCGATTAAGGCAAGGATGTATCCTTGGGGGAAAAAAGTCGGACTTTCCCTGTAATGTGGATTCCCGTCTCTAATAGAAAGCAGCGCACCCGTTCTGTGTTGGGATCATTGTGTTTATATAATAATAGTATATATATTCTTCTATGTGTGTTTATATTGCATGTGTTTGTGTTCATCTATCTCTCTCTTCTTTCGTATGTGAAACATGAATACGACGTCATCATAAATTCTTTATTTTCAATTTCCAGCTGTAGTTTATGCAAATCAGATTTTAAACATTCTTCAGAAGATTTAAACTCTGAGTATTAACTTAAGTAAATTTAGAAATTTTACATATATATGACATGTTTCGAGCCAGAATCAGACTTAATTTTAAAAAGGAACTTTATTTAATGAATTATCGATATCATATGACACTAAGAGGCAGAGAGAGAAAAGAACACCACACACACAGTGAAATTTAAGTGTTTTACCACTTAGGCCAGCTGTGTGAAGTATCTCGTATTTTATGATATGTACTTGAAAGTTAAGGCTGACACTATAAAGCTATTAAATATAATGATCTGGTATCAGAAATGTTTAGTGGTTAGGCCATATGTTTCGGAGAAATAATTGGGGGATTAATTTATTTCTTGAAGATGTAATGAAAAATAAAAGTTAAGTGCTATGTAGAGAATTTAAATTTAATTTAATTATCCATATATAAATATCACCAGTCTGAGTTTAACAAATTAGTGGTTTGGTTCTATTTAACTAGACTTTTTATTAACAGGGCACATTAAAGCTGCACGTGGGCTCTTGGGGATGGACCTCATAATTTTAAATTTAGGTGGAGAGACAAGGATGACACTTGAGCTGGCACTTCTCTCTCAAACTTACACACCACACCAAAGTGACTTTGAGCCACAAAAGTTTAAAATGTATCAGCCTCTTTGCACAGAGGGTCTTCAATGGCACTACAACTTGAATCCACGACTCGACAACGCCAACCACGGGTTCACGACTATGACAAATTCGGCTACAGCTACCCAATTACTAATGGCTGAAACGATTTGATTTATAACTTCGAATGGTCTTCAAATTTGTTGGGGGAATTATCTTAACCTTAGATTTCAAATATTTATTGTACTTCCAAATGCATATAAATGTTTAAAAGTCTAATGATTGTCTGGTTTCCGTTTTCTCTGTGATATGATCACGTTGTTTTCAAAGAATAACAAATAACAACTCCAAAATTCAAATCAAATTATAAGAGGAAAAAGTAGATTTTATTAGCTTCCTTTCTAAGATACCTTTCCTCAGTGTTATTAAAAAATAAATAAAATACACCTCCAAAAAGGCATGATAGTTGTTGTTCATCAAAAAAATACTACTAAAGAATGAATGTGATGATGATTGAATTAAATCAAAGGCAAAAAACTTCATTGTTTTATTAGTGAAATAAGTAATTTTGAGAATAATTTTTCATACTCTTTTACTTATTTTAAAATATAAGGAAATATTTATGTTTCTACGACATTTTTGTCCATTTATAACGTATTATTAACTGTTACTTATATATATATATATATATATATAATTTATAACAAAATAATAATATATACTAATAGTTATAATCCTAAGTATAACCAGACAGAATAGTAAGAAATATTAGCCACAGTGATATACTAATAAACTCATGGCTTTAGGAACCAAGAATGCAGGTTTAAACAATGTTTTGTGGCTATCCAACTTTCACCTGTAATTTGCCTATACTACTGGGCTATAGGAAAAGGAGGGATTACTATGAATATGTCATTAGTAGAAAATAAAAAAACATTAATGCTTTTATTAAATAAAAAAATAACAGTAAAAATTAATAAAAACTACTTACTTCATATAGAAATTAAGAATATTTAGCACAAAAACTGTTAAAATAACTAAGTACGCCACATCAACACATCACCATATTAATCTTTCCCGCCTATACAATACGAACTAAGAGCAGCGTCGCATAAAAGTAAAAATTATTAAATAATAGGATCAGTTATAAATAAGTCTATATATTCCTAAAAACCTAAAATATTATTAAAAAAATTTTGGGAAGAGGACCCAATTATATACAGCAATTATAATTAAAAAAATGAAATATATTTAATTTCATTAAACGTGAAGCGCCGTCTTGTGACTGTATGAAGAAAATTGAGTAACAGTATAATTAAAATTTTTAAAAACAAATTTTAACATTTAAAACGGGAAAAAATTCAAAACTCATGTAAATATTATTAAAATTTGTCATATTTAACTTAAACCCATTAGAAATGTAATTGTAAACAGAAAAGAAAATAAATAGGGTATTCATGATTACAATTTAAAATATTAGATTTGTCACTGTATCTAATATATATATATATGTATATATATATTTATATATAATTCTATTATTCTTATAACTTCTAATACATCTTTTCTAAATTCTAATATCTGGTTTATATTCTATACGCTTCAGTTGCAGTTATTATTGATGATTCATCCTCTATAGTAGAGGATATATATATATATATTGATAATATATATGTATAACTATTTGGATGTATTATTTTGGAAATATATATATATATACCTTCATATATATATCTTCTAACATATATATATATACCTTCTAATTCTTCCTTCTTTATATATATAACTTCTTCCTTCTTCTTATTAATCAGAATTAATGTTATGAATTCAAATTCCATAACAAAATCAATGTACATGAATACCAAACTGTTGAAAGTTAGTTTTGAAAATTTTTAAAGGGAAAAATTAAAATACTATGAAATAATATAAGGAACTAAGCACACTTCTGGTTTTAAAATATACGATTATCTTCAACAAAGTTCTCTCATACTTTAGTAAAATTAAAAATTCTTTATAACTTTTAAACAACATTAAAGAGCAATAACATATATTTTTTGCGCTTTTTAATATTTTAAAAAATGATACTATCATTCTAAACTTAGCCAATTCTTTACTATGGTATCAATTAGAAATATTTTTTTTCGAAGAATAAAAAATTCCTTACGGTTTTCTTTATAAATAATATATTTATCAAAAATATTTATTCATTTTTGTACGTGATTTAAATCATAAACTTCCTCAATGCTGTTTAAAACGGGTATATTTAGTAAAGATGTTGAATGAAAAAAAATAAAAATGGTATTCGTCTCACACATTTGAGATTTGAATGTTCATACGTAAAAAAGAATCATTACTGTTTTGTGGTTGCAAGAAATGTAGATTCCTTTCCTTATCCATGCGCAAACCTCGGAAGAATATCTAAAGTAAAGAAAGAGAATATATGAAAAATGTCAAAATTTGTAGGAAAGGATTTATTGTAATTGCAAAAGAACAGTATCAAACACCTGAGAAAGTTTGATAAGTATTCTCTATATAATGCTACTCTAAGAACATTACTCTAAGAACTTACTATACTACAGAATCTATTTTTTAAAAAAAGCTGCGATGTTGCTGGTGTTATAGATATCACAGATGCTGCATTCATTATAAAATAAGTTCTTTTTTATTCAATATAGGAATAAAACTAAAATAATGTACAACAAAAAAATATTCCCTCAATTTCAATAAAAAAATATCTTTATAAATGAAATGAAGATCATTCTAGATAACTTTAAGATTCATCCCTAAATACTAGAGAACAAGATTAAACAGAAGGATTTTTTTATCTATAAAAATATTTCAATATAGTTGAGCAAATCTTTGCAGCATCTATAACCATTCATCCAATTGAATTCTTAAAATTTAGAAACATGTCAGTTTCTCATTTAATATAAAAGCTAAAGTTTATTTGGTATTAAGAGTATTGGAAATTAAATATGTAAAATACACTATATACCGAAAAAATTAACTCAACATTAAACAGGTAATATATTAAAGTATGTTACACATTCTATGTGTGTGTATTCTACTGAATTAAAAATGTGATATGAATTTTAGTTATATGATATCTATATTGGTTTTATAATACTTTAAATATAATTCTTGAATTATGTTTACTTAATTATTTTATATTATTTTAAACTGTCACTTTTAAAAAATACAAGACACAACAGAAAATAAGACGGATTTAAATAATATTTTATAATGTTGAATGATAATCCTTACTAGATATTGAATTGAATGACATTTCTTACCAGATATTTCAAATTTAAAGATTTATAGCGATTAAGTGTTTAACATATTTGTTCATTAATTTTAAAATATTGATATAACTGCACGTCATTCCTCTTTTCCTACTTATCTATTTAACAATTAAAATCCGAATAAAAGCTGCATCTAAAAAGTTCTATACAGCCTAATTGTTATTCCTTAAGGAATGGTTTTTTTTATTTGTTAGCTAACTTTTTAGAATTTAAAAACATTGAAATAATTTCTGTATGTAACTTTTCCTTCCTTTCAATTAGCTATATCTAAAATGGTATGAAACACATGACAAATCTAAAAGTTGAGAAAAAGAAAATAAATAACTTCAAACTTCTATTTATATTAATTTATTATAAAAAAACCAAAACAATGTAGCTTATTTTACGCAAAAAAGAACTTTCTTGTGTAAATTGCGTGGATATCTAATAAAATGCATATGTCTTAAAAAAGCTAATCAATTAAAATATAAAGAATAAGTTTTTTTAATCGTTTATTATACCTGATATTACATATCCATTGTTAATAATAAAAAAATAATTTCCAGAATAATTTACAACTCAAATAAAATGAATCCTTTTCATTTACTTTAATTAACTATATTCAAATTAATTCCTCATGTTTGCATAGTTCTTTCACTTAAGAATATTGAAAGCTTTTATTCCAGTCAATAAATTAGTTCCTCGAAAGGGAATACATAAGGCCACTACATTCGCGTAAATGCGTGGGAGTGCAACACAATTCATTAAACGTTTTTCGTGCAATGAATGGAGACATAAAGTAATTACAGAATTATTTATTAATAGAGAAAGAGAGTTGCACACACGATAT